GTACCAATAAAAACTAATTTTGACAACAGCTCTTTAGTCGACAAGTTTTCTGTAAATAACAATACTGCATTATTGTTGAATAGCTCATTTCAGATATCAGTTGATGATCAACAATTACAAAGCAGTGTGTTTCGATCTTCTATGTCAGTTCAAGCCTGTGTGATGCCATATAAAACGCCCCCGGTATACACTCGAAATAGTTTGTCGTCAAGCATCAGCAGCAGTGGTTCATCTGCATTCGCAGGACTTAGCCGTCTTAAACACATATTGAATGACAGCATATTCTCACAAAATGCAAATAAAGTAAAAAGAGAAAGAGAAAAAGCACCAGAACCAGTATGGCCAAACTCTGACCAAGGCATTGTCCGACATTTAATCGACTTACAGAAATTCGACGGTCTTTGGGATTTAACAAATGAACAAATTGAAAAACTGACAAACAAATCACTCTCCTCCTATCAATCACAACATACAACTGACCAGCAGATCATTTCATCGGCCATCGTTATCGTCGTTTTGGAGCAAAAACGGTTCGAAGAACAAAAGAAACTGTGGCAAGCATGTGCTGACAAGACCAAACGACGTTTAACTGAATTACTAAGTGGAAATGACAGGCTGGAACTGTTACTACAAGAAATTAGAGGACAAGTTACGACTGACACATCAGGTGTTAACTTTTTTACGAGACTATTCAAGTAAAAGCTTTTTACTTTCATATATTGTGTGATTACCTAGTCAGTCATAGTCATTTCAGAAAAGCGCAGGAAAGTCTGTTTACGAAATCTTACGCGTTTAGCGAGTTTCGAATAATAATGCGCAAGAAGCTGTGAGTGTGTAAAAATAAACCGGAGGAAACGCACGTTGCCATGAAAATAAAGGCTTTGTACGCATGTTCCTGCGGTTTATTTTTACACATTCGTAGCTTCTTGCGCGTTATTATTCGAAACTCGCTAAACGCGTAAAATTTTTCGTAAACAGAGTTTCCTGCGTTTTTCTGAAATGACTATGACTGACTAGGTACGTCTATTTCGGAAATAAACGTTTGTATAACTGAAGTTAGTAAGTCGCACTGAGTGTCTAAGTTTTTACCTGTCTGCAAAAATTAAAGACCATTTTAATTTTTTCAAAGTAAAGTGGAAAGCAATAGTAACCGATTAATAAAAACAGTTTTCCAAATTTAAACAACTGTTTGAAGCAACTAGAGTTATTCCAGCCTTTTCTCTAAGGTGTTGAATAATGTGAAGCACGGAAGAAATGGTTCTACGCTCATCTCGTATCTTCAATTTTCAAAAAAGGAAGTTTATTTAACTGAGATCTAGCGTCTTGGCCGTTCTGACAAGCAATTCAAAGAAAATCATATGAATCGTCAAAGAGGCAAAAATTATAATTTACGGTCTATGACATACATAGCTCCCGTTTAAAAATTACACTTTATTCCCCATGGGGAAATTTTATCGAGTTTTCACGCGTGAGGGGCCGTGAAATGTCAGCTTGGACTTTCACGAAATTGTGTAGATAAAAACAGCAAGTTCCACGACAGTTTGGTCGTGTTGCTGCAACATCACACGCGTGGCTACGCGAAGAAACTACTAAATAAATCTCATATTCATAGTTGTCGAATCAATCCCACAGTGGGCATCCAGACGGAAATTAGGCAAAAAATTAAAGTTGCTCGTTTCTCAAACATAAATAGTGCAAAATGCAGCTCTTTCAATTCTCTATCGAATGGTGTATGAATGTCTATTGTGATTTTCACTTCTTCATGGAGAAATCAGGCCACAGAGGAAGGTCCCAAAACATCATACGTATGCACAAAACGCCGTTTTCTTCTTTATACACCTACGTTTAATAATTTCAAAGCACATATTCAGAATCAGTATGTTTTCAGCTATCTATTGATATGAAAATATATATACTTTACTTTCAAATTCAATATGTAACAGCTCTTCAATACTTCATCGTTCACTCGTACATGAGACCACCTCAGTATAGTCGCATCGCCCGAGAACGCCGGACTCCAAAAGCACATCTAATTACATCAAAACATTCCTCAGTCAATACTCTATCTGTGGCAGACTCACCTAATCTCACCTATTGTTCTAAGTACAGATATGGATTTTCAAAAAACCCATAGGGTTTTCAAGGTATTTCGATGTTTTCTCGTACAAGAAAGCATTTTTATTCAAATATAATACCATCTTCGGAATCAGCGTGAAAAACTGCATCGAATGGTGTATAACTCATCTAGTTTCGGTCGCTTGATTTTGAATTCTAGAAATTTCTTAGTTTTTGAGATTCACACAAACAATTTCGTGCAGAAAATTTGAATTTCAAGATAAAGTAACCTAAACGACTCGAAACATGTTTCTTATAGGTTTCCGACAATGCTCTTTCCAATGACATCATTTTTAAATATTGAGAAAGTTTTCTGAAGGGTTTTCCAGAGACCGGACCTCTAGAAAACTTCTTAGAAAACTTTTTCAAAAGCCAACGCTCACGCCATTAGAAAGAGAATCATGAAAAACCTATAAAGAAATTGTTCATGAAATTTTAGTTCACTCATAAAGCTAAAGTCCGCCTGCTCTAGCAAAAAATGCCCACTGTGAATCCTCACGAGTTCCCACGCGTGATTACTCGTGAACTTCCTAAATCTTTTTTCTTAGTTTCCAACATTTCCAAACTTTTTTAGTTAATACTTCCTCCCGGGGAACAAGATGATTCACAGGCATATTTCTTGAATAATGTATCTTCCATTGAAATTTTTCCAAAAAAGTGGAAGTCGTTGTTCGAGTGAATCAATACGCCATTCTACAGAATTTTATACTGATTCCAAATATATAATTCTTTTTCAAAAATATTTTGGGATGTAAGATGGTCTTATCCGCCTTCCGTCTTTTGTTAAAAAAACGAAATGTGCAGACTTTGACAACAGACGCTATATTTCAGACTTAGCATCTCAGATTCCAGAAACATTCTGCGGAACTTAATTTCGCAGTTATCACTTTTTTTCAATTTTTTGTTCTTTTGAGTACCTTAAACATTCAACTCCCCAAATTTTATTTCATCATTTTGTACACTGAGGAATTCTCTCTCGAATGAGGTGCAGATAGTCTGAAAAAAAGTTGGGCAACTTGAGTTATAGCTGATGCAGCAAGAGCAGACCTCATCTAAAACTACGTAAAACATCAGAAAAAAAATGTTTTTTTCCGTTTATCGTCATTTTTTACACAGGACCAAAGCTACAATCAGCAACTAAAACTGCATCGAACTAGAGCTCTTCTCTCAGCTTTCTTTCCCCTACTCGTCTATGTACATGTCCTAAGCGTAGATAATGTTGAAGTATTCTCAGAGACGACAGAGGAAGTATTTCAGCAGGCTGCGGACTCCACCGGGTCAACGGACTCCGCTTTACTCCAGTTGACTCCGAGAGACTCCACGGGACTAAACGCAAGAGGAAAACAGCAGACTCCGTCGGACACCAGTCGCGTTGAGCCTCCTGGAGTCTTGTGGAGTCACATGGAGTCAAGTAGAGTGTCAAAGCGCTTGCAAAAAATATTGAGATCTATTTTCAAAGATGAATGCGAGTAAATAAAATACCTCGTGATCAAATCATCCTAGTTTTTCGATAAGGTAAAAACAAATACTTTAAGTTTCATATTTACAAAAAAACCCGTCACTGATCACTGGTCTGATATCGGATAATAATCAAAACAAAGAACAACTAACAAATGCTAAACAGCCAAACATATATATTTTTAGTTGGTATAAACTGTATTTGAAAGTGAAGAAAAACTTAATACAAAACAAAATTGCTCATAATTTTGCTTCAAGCTTTGAAATTTCTCGAAATAGTACATACTGACAAAAAAAAGGCTTCATAAGTCGATCCTAGTGGGCTTTTGACCCCCTGTCGTCTCTGAGAATACTTCAACATTATCTACGCTTAGGACATGTACATAGACGAGTAGGGGAAAGAAAGCTGAGAGAAGAGCTCTAGTTCGATGCAGTTTTAGTTGCTGATTGTAACTTTGGTCCTGTGTAAAAAATGACGATAAACGGAAAAAAACATTTTTTTCTGATGTTTTACGTAGTTTTAGATGAGATCTGCTCTTGCTGCATCAGCTATAACTCAAGTTGCCCAACTTTTTTTCAGACTTTCTGCACCTTATTCGATCATCTATTTTTTCGTATTTTTTCTTTTAGTTTGTGTTTGTGTACCAGCAAGCATTTGATTTGAAACTACAGCTGTATTTTTTGTTCTTTTATGATGTCCTTGATTTGTAAATACTCAGGTGCTCGCCCACAACATTCTAGACATAAAACATTCAGTAGAAAAAGGGGTAAAAGATCTAGTTATACGTACATGGAAAGCGTTATGCCATCCCTCAACAGGATTATTTGTACGAGGTAAATCTAAATCAACTCTTGAAAAACAGTTCCACATAAGCACACTAAAACGAGGATTTCTTCTACGATTTTTTTGACATTTTTCTGCCAATAAAATTGTCTTCAAAATACACGAATAACTCTGAAAGTTAAAGGTGTCAGATGAAGTCTCTATGTACACATACTAACATTTTCTTCTGCTTACCATCTAATACATCTGGCGCATTTTCTTTTATTTGAGTAAAATCTTGAATAACATTTTACCGTGGAACGAAGGCAATGCAACTAAATTTTTCATTGTGTTGGCGACTATCTGCATTTTCGAGGACGTAATTCCTATTAGAAAAAGATAAACTTTCACAGATAGCGCAAGACAAAACTTCCACTTACTATCTCATAATTAAAATAAACTTTATGTTAACAAATATTTCTCCATACACACTGTTTGAAATGGAAAAAATAACCAAATAAGGAACTACAATAGCAAGCGCATGTTCGGCAGCTTTTTCAGAATCAATTGTTACATATTTTGGTTTCTGTTGAATGTGCTGATCAACTATTTTAAATAATTCTTCATACGGTCTTTGAGTTTTATTTGGTAAAAGGGTGTACAATAACGGCAACGTCTTTCCGCGTATTGAACCATGAATAGAATACATTTGTTCAAATAACTTAGGAGCTACCTATAAATGAGAAAACAGGTATACTGCAGGATTCTGACTTGTTATTTCAATAACTTACAGCGAACGTGCCATCAAAATGCCAACTTTCACATCCATTCAAAAGATCTGATTGTTCGGTACTAGCGAATATTAATAACCTTTGATGATGGTTGTTATTACTATATAATAGAAATTGAGTAGCAGCGGCATCTGAAGGTAATTTGAGCCGTGCATCTTGTATATGTGTCTTTTACAATTGTACTTATTATTTAATTTTCAAATTTTTGTACAGCTGTTATGCCATCTATTCACTACAATGTCAGTCAACATCATATTTTAGCTGCTCATCTTTATCCATATGTAACTTTCACAATTATCACCGTTTACTGTACTTATTATTGATTTCTCGTATTCCAATAAGTGTAATTTCCAAATATCATGCTTTTATACACTCACTATTGCAGTTGTTGAACATCCTACGCGCACATTTTTAATTAGCTCTCGTATATAGTACGTTCTTTTCTGTAATCACTTGTTATTCATTTCATTTGTATTACTGAAGAAGGAGTCGGTTTAGACTTCGAAACGTTTAGCAGTTGTAAATACATTTATAAAATAAAAGAAAATTCTACGAGGAAAACGAAATTAAATTTAAATGTGATTTCCTTATCATATATATTATCAACAGAATTAACACTACCTCGTATCAAATTTATATTACACATTCTTGTATTGTGGTCACAAAAAAAGATGATATGGTAAAAAGGTCGTATTTAGATTTTACTGTGTTTTGGGTCAACAAAGAATATGAATTGAAACATTCATTGTTACGATGTAAATACTTCGAAGAAGACAGTAAAACAGCAGTAAATATTTGAAGTGAATGTAAGTGAAGTAGATTATTCTCATTTTAGAACGAGCTTTTAGGTTGCTCTGTCTCTTAATATGCGTCTTTTTTATATATTTAGTAAAAGATATTTTTAATTCATTTAATCTGTCGTATGGTGATAAACCAATAACAACCGATGCCGGTTCCAGTATGGTTGCTGCTCTCAAAATAACAGACGAAGCAAGATTTTCATGTATGGCCCATCGATGTAATACAGTGTTAGAAACAGCCTGGAATGAAACAATAAAGAAACAAAAGGATTTTGAAATTTTTTGTAATTGTGTGAAAGATTTAAGGAAGTATGTTCAACAAACTGGTGGAATACAATCTAAATTACCGAAAACAATCAAAGGTGGTAGTGGTACTCGCCCGTGAAGATCTTACTTTACAGTTCATGATTCATTGAATGCTTGTTTTGAAACATTAGTACAAATTTTACGTGGAAGAAACGAACAACATCAGATATTTCCGATTAATACAGTGCTGTTGGCCGATATTGGTGATCTCATGAGAAAATTTGCATTAATATTTGATCATTTGGAATTTTCGAATCATCCAGCGCTACAAAACATTGTTCCTAGTTATTATAAAATGGCTCATTACTGTCGGATTGAAAAAAATGCACCACAACAGAAATTAATCATTAACGCATTGAAATCAGAAATTATAAAGGCTTTAGACGATAAATATTGGCCTTCAATAACAACATTGCATTGGATCGCAACATACCTTGAACCCACATTCAAACATCTGGCATTTGTTGATGACAAAAAAGATTCTGAAATGCGTAAAAATGAGATACGAAAAGGATTGCATGTCTTGGTCAATGATACATTAAAAATGAATGATAATGATCCAGAAGTATTAACATCATCATCTTCATTTCTCGTTAAGTCATCACCACGCAAAAGACGTAAAGATGATCCTTTTGCCAATATCCGTCAACACAAATGATAACAAGTCCGATTTTATCTTCGTCGAATGGGATAACCCGAGCAATGAAAACAGAATTAGATCGACAAATACAGTTCTATGAAAGTATGACAATGATTACGGCTTCAGAATATGATCACAATCCTTTATCGTTTTGGAAAGAACAACAGGGTAATTTAACACTATTAGCAAGAATAGCCAAATCAGTTCTTGTTATACAAGGCGAGTTATTTTATTCTTTCTTTCATTTTATTTGTATGATCCGACTTTTTGCGTTGCATATATAATATTGAACTTCCATATCTCATTTTATTAAAACCCGATAGAAGCTTTTTACGAGCATTTTTCTCTATATTTCAGCATCGTCTGCAGAAAGCGAACGACAATTTTCAAGTGCGGGACAAATAGTAACTGAACAGCGAAGTTTGCTTGATCCAGATTGCATTGAATCTTTGATTGTGTACACCTCTCCATTATGGTGCGATGTTCGAAAATACACCAGTTATCAAACTTCTTTAGAAATATTCAGAAAGAACATTATTAGAACTCAAGGATAGACAACGACGTTCTGCGGAATCACTAAGAAAATCAATGAAAAAACTTCTATTACTTGTTTCAAACCCAGTTTGTTTTTAGTTTTCAGCTTGTAGACGTTGTGTCTGCGAGTACACAAATCTCTTACCACAAATTAAAGCAAACATACATACGAAAACAAAACTATTCAATAAAAGAAACAGTCTTATCTCTTGGCGAACTACTCTCAGATTACTTGGAATTTCATATTAACTTTGATTAGAAAATCTTTTATGTCATTCAACTCGAATTCTCAAAATCTTTTTTAATAGCTACCTTTTTGGTCATTAAAATCCTTGGTTGTAAATCCACATGAAACCTATCATGATTATATAAACTTAATGCGCTGGCGACCGATCCTGTACAACTTACAAAGCAACGAGAATAATGAGTTTTTTGATGAAATCGAAGGTCTGTCCTAGTCATCCGCAATAATGAGACAGCAATAACATATACTGGACAGACACGGAAATAAAATAGCATCCCGATCTATGAGCATTTAAACTCACCTCATCATATTCAATGAGGCTGTCATAAATTATCTTACAGTAGCAGCAAGTACCCCACAAATCTTGGCAGCCATAACAAAACAATACTGGGCCAAATTAACCCTTAAAAAGTTTTCCATTATATAAATGTCTGCGAATAACATATGCGTTATCTGCCTGATAACGGCATGCCTATGTTCCATCTGCCAATGCATATTTCATTCTCTTTTCAAGTCTCTCATATACATCTTCACATTTTCACACAGACACTCACAGTACTAAATCTCAACCGAAATCGAATGGGACACACAGGCGTACAATATTTGGCTGCTGCATTACGAACGAACACGGTCATCCTCATTGTCTTTTCATCTCTCTTCAATGTATCTTCACTTTTTTACACAGACACTTACCACATTCCACCTCAGCGCAAACGAAATCGAAGCGGCAGGTGCCCAGCATCCGGCTGATGTATTGCGAACTCACAAGGTACCCTATGTTCTCTCTTCCTCTGTCTCTCTCATATTCGTCTTTACTTTTCACACAGACACTTACAACATTCCATCTCAGCGCAAACGAAATCGAAGTGGCAGGTGCCCAGCATCCGGCTGATGTATTGCGAACTCACAAGGTACCCTATGTTCTCTCTTCCTCTGTCTCTCTCATATTCGTCTTTACTTTTCACACAGACACTTACCACACTACATCTCTACGATAATCTAATCGAAGTTGAAGGGAACATTATGAACAATATCTAGCTGATGCATTACAAACTAACTCGGTGCCCTACATTCTCATTTTCTCTCTCTCATCTCCATCTTCTTTTCTCACACAGACACTTACCACACTCTACTTTGGAGAACATCAAATGGAACCGGCAGGGGCCCAACATCTAGCTGACGTTTTACGAACTAAGAAGGTACCCTATATTCTCTCTGTCTCTGTCATATACATCTTCACTTCTTCACACACACACTCACAGCACCACATCTCTACAAAAATGGAATGGGAGAGATTGTGGTGCAATATTTGGCTATAGCATTACGAACGAACACGGTGATCCTCATTGTCTCTTCATCTCTCTTCTGTACATCTTCACTTTTTCACACAGACACTCATCACATTCCACCTCGAAGAAAATGAAATCGAAGCAGCAGGGGCCCAATATCTAGCTGATGCATTACGAACTAACAAGGTACTCTACATTCTCTCTTTCTCTGTTTCTCTCATATTCATCTTCGCTTTTTCACTTACATACTCACCACACTCAATCTTAACATCAATAGAATAAAAGTTATAACAGCACGATATCTGGCTAACGTATTACGAACTAGCACGGTGCTCCTCATTCTCTCTTCATCTCTCTCTCGCATCTCCATCTTCACTTTTTCACTCAGACGCTCACCACAATCAATCTCAAATGCAATGAAATTGGAACTGTAGGGGTACAGTATCTCGGTAATGCATTACGAACTAACAGGGTAATCCTCAGTCTTTCTTCATCTCTCTCATATCGATATCGACGTTTTCACTCAGACACTCACCACACTCAACCTCTTCCAAAATTTAATCGAAGCTGCAGGGGTACAAATTCTGGCTTTACGAGCTAACACGGTGCTCCTCATCGCCTCTTCCTTTCTCTAATACCCATCGTCACTTTTTCACTTAGATACTCACCACACTTAATCTACGATACAATCGAATCGGAGCTGCAATCGAACACTCACTACATTACATCTCCGATTTTATCAAATCAGAGACGTACGGTTTATCCACTGTATAGAAGAATTTCTACAAAGAAATCCAGAACGGAAGAGGAATGAGTGATCGCTGGGAAAAGACCATACGAACTGGTGAAAAGGACACAAAAGGAGATAAAATCGGAGAACTCCTGCAATTCTGTGTGTTTGTTGAAATCCTTTTCCACATTTGGAAATAAATCACTTAAAGCAGACCGTAGGATTTCAGAATTGCGGCATATCGTAGCAACAAACCTATATGGAGGTGGCGGTCGGAAATAGGGAAAGTCATGGTTCTTGTCACTGATCGGGAGGCATTTGGACCTTGACCCATTGAGCTTTCATTGCAGATGTCTGATTAGATATAGATTGAAAGACAGACGTTTGGAAGAAGGCAACGACCGGCGTCTTGATCGTGGCGAAATGACACCCGAGTGTGAGTTCCTGTGCTTCATGTACATTGTGATCCCGAAGGTCTGCAACAGAAGCATTGGATTCAGATCAAAATCACTTAAAATAAGTATTTCAAACCATTTTCGATTTATCTTAAGGGGAAGGTTCGCGGCACCCCACTTTTCAAACTCAATAGCATTAATCGATAGCGAACATCTTTTTCGCTTTTTTTTTATATATATCCTGATATTTTTACGTTATTCGGTTTTACCTAACCAGAGTTTTAGCCGGCGCAAGAACGATTTTTAGGGTGAAATTTTGCCCTTTAGCCTACCTGGTATTTTGCCATTTTTGGGTACAAAGTAAGAGATAAACATAACTGTATTTATACCAAAAGATAGAGAAAAAATTCTCTATCTGCTACACATTGATTCAAGTTCAAAACAGGTGCTTATAATAGCATTTGAGGCTGAATAACCCATTTTTAACGGAAATTAATCAATGATGAACAACTGAAAAATCACCTGTTTGATCGATTTTACAACAGAGCCAAAGGTTGCGAAACACCCTGTCCATATTGCAAACAAACATGTATTAATGGTAACCCGATACACATGAACATAAAGCTGAATGTCATCTTGTCTGAGTTTTTTGGCGACTGTAAAAAAACCTTACTGGAAAACTATCTTTAATTTGTTGCACATTCAACGAAGCATTTACAAATCAGGTTGAAAGTCTAACAGATAAAGATACTTATTGCTATTTCCTGAATATTTGAGACGATTTAATCATACTCGGGCGGTAATTAATAAAACGACATCATTAAAAGACTACCCGACGAAAATATATATTTCTCTAGAAAGATTTATCAAAACATTATAGCTTTAGAGAACGAGCTGATACTGCAACCAGAAAAAAGTTTTTACGAGTCACAATTACAACTCATTGTTATGGTCTCCTAGTTGGAATTGATTATGAAAATACGCCAAATAGTCTTCATGATATTCCATCATACGATGTTTCTTGTATCGAACAACACCTAAATCTTTCTTCTATCGCGTATTCGGAAAACCTTAATATTCTCAAAAACAATGGATCTACGAAAGAAAAAGTTTTAAATAAATTAAATCTTACTGTTAGCAATGTCAAGGAAAGATCAACATTTGCATTCTACTTGTCGGGTTGCGCAAGTCGAACAACGACATATGGATCTTATCTGTTGATAGAACAGAATAAGTAAGCTAATTTGTAAAATAAAAAGCTCATTCTATTACCACTAGCTCTCTCATGAACATTTGTATCTATCATTTTTTCTATTTACTCGCGTTGGTATTCAGTTGTTCATGATGTGTAGATACTATCGCTGTTATTGTTCGTCTTGTTGGTCATCATGCACTAACTTATTTGCCGAATTTGGTCGCAGTCATGTGACATTAATATCAGAAGTGTTCGCATGTCCTCCTTTTCCGTCCTCTTTCTGTCGATGCCGGTCTAATTTATAAAGTACTATCTTTATCTCTGGTTCTTTACTAACTAAATAATGTTACTACCTCATATGATTCAGTGACAACAATTTTTGTGGAATTCACGTATATTTTTCGAAGAAAAATAATGCCTGTAAGTTTCAAGTCGAGGTTTTCTGGGCTCCCCCTAACCTTTCATTAGGCCTTACCGACAGAGGGCCAAAGTCCTTGAGTACTAATCCTCCCATATTCCAAACCTTTCCTTGAAATATAAATGGCTGAATGCATTTTTTAATGTTCTAAATAGCACAATTTCTGATTTGTGCGCAGATAAATGATTATATGATGGATGTCAATGATGATGACCAAGTAGTGATGTATCGATTCGCCACAGTCGTCATATAATCGACACAGAAAACATAAACTGATCAGCTTCTAACTTTGGAGAATAATCAACATTAATGTTTCTGAATTTATTAATATACATAATAGTACATTGAGACTTACAGTGTGATTAAATGGATATGTACAAATGGGAGGACCACATTTCAGTCTATTAAGGACTGCACTGATCAGTTTTTATTGTTATTTGTCGTAGAAAATCAAACAACGAATTTCAAGACTTGTCTGCTCTACATTCGGTACGGGCTCATTTTCATTTATAAAAGCCGTATGAAAGGCAAATTGAGCGGTATCAGGCTTGCTATCAAAAATTTTAAAGACAAACATCTCATTGGATCGCATTTGACTCAAATAGTACCATATATGGGCATCTTGCGAGTTTCGAGACATAATGTAGGATGCACCGTGATAACCGGCTCCACGAACATCGAGTGGATGAATATCTTTTTCGACATCAGCCGAGCGATAATCACAAATGGTTAATGGTTTTTGTGTGATTGGATTGGAACCTAATGGACGCCAGACGTTGATTATTTGAAATCGATTTTGCATCACTTTTTCACCTTCTTCTTTGCCAATCCAACGTTCTACCACCCGTGGAGCTCCAGTTGCACTAGTATCAACGTGAGGAAAAAAGGCAGGATTTCTATGCTTGTCATCAAGCTGCTCATCGGTACGTGGTGAACTTCGAGAGCGAAAGTTATAATGATAGATAAACACGCGTGAGGCGCCCAGATGTTTCTTAAGAAGGTCACTAATCTCTTCATAATAAGTTTGTTGTGCTTCGCTGCCTTCTTCAAATTCTTCCTGTATGGAGCCGTCGTATTTGAGCACTTCGAGAGCATTTGTGTCAAGATGGACAGTCTTCTCCTTATCTCGTAAGTCGTGAATAGTGACACGAACAGGTTCTTGTACAAAATTTGTTCTCTGCGTCGCTGGCATTGACGCTACCACCGTCCAAGGAGAACAACCATCTATCGTGGAAGTAAAATAATTAATCTCTCCAATGACATCGCCATTCATTGTGATAAGTTCAAAATAATGCTTTTACCTGGTTACGACTGAATCTATCTGTTGCAAAGAATCAGTTCGTTTTATATACACAATGAGATAAGAATAGCTTTAGAGAGGAGGACAGATGGTAGTATAGATGATATTGTATTATAAGTGAGTATACAAAAGCATGAAAAAAGGGAGAATGCAGCGACGTTGTACAATGATAATAATACAGCAAGCTGCTCATACATACGGTTGAGCACGCAAATAAATGAGATAGATGAAAAGTGGATAGTATGTATAAAGCAGAGTTGGAATCGGTAGGGTTTTTCCTTACCGGTACCGGTGGAAACGGTCAGACCGAACCGAATCGGCCGGTATATTCACAATACTGACATCCATAAGTTGCTGACTGCTCTTCGCATCTAGAGAAAAAAGGGGTAAAAATATTTCTTTTTTTTATCGTTCTTCTTTCTCGTCGACTACAGAGACGGTGACTGCGTGCGAAGAAAAATGGTAGCAACGAGAAGAAAAAAGAAAGATTGGCTTGACTCAGATATTATTGTATGTCTATTCCTTCTCTCTTTTTTTTCTCTTATCAACAATGGTCGCCACACAGTGCCGACATTCACATGTCGCTGACTGTTGTTTCTTCGTTTCTCCTTATCACATTTTGTCTTGTAACTTTAAAATGTTTCTTCATGTTGGCGTTCTCCCATCTCATAGAATACAGACATGCTGAGTGAGTGAGAGAAAGATATAAAAGTCGATGAGAAGAAATATTTCAGTATCGACCTGTTTTTTTGCGTTACGTGAAGACAAAAGGTGGTAACGAAGAATGAAAAAAGACACGGCGAAATGTGGATGTCGGAATTGTGCGAAAAACATCCATAAAAAGAATAAACCAGTCAAACAGCGGTCTCGGATATCAGCTTCCTTTCTTCCCCATTAAATAAAACAGGACAAAGTACACTTGGACAAAACAATGCACATTTTCAAAAGGTTTAATAGCTCTGAAAGAACAGGTTCTACTTTAATCTCTTTGGTTGATCATTCACAAAACACTCCGCGTAACAAAACATTTATCGATTCTGTCCAATATATCTAACTGTCTTTTCTAGGTCGACAACTCTACCTGATCTGTAGATGACTGTGGAGGTCGAAAACTCATCTGGAAAAGAAAATCAAATAAATGGATGTATTCCATCCAAGGGGGAAACTACCTCCTAAAAGGGTGCATACACTTATAAATGACAGTCACTTTAAGTGACACTTTACGTGTCATGTTTATTTTCCTATTTGAACAAGATTTGAGCAGTTGCTAATTTTTTGCTAATTGCTAATTTTTCCTCCTTATGGTAAGAAAAAGTAACAGAATTCGCTTTTTGCTCAAAAGTTGCTTGGTATTCAATGTTTTTTGTTGCTTTATAAACAGAAGTCCAGAGGTGCACACGACTCATTTATTTTTCGTTAGAAGCAAATAATTTTCAATGAATTTCACCAAAACATCGGTTACTAAGCACCAAACGTTAAGATTAATAAATTGACTTGTGCCATAGATATGGTGTTGTCGCCCTTTTCTTCCTTTTATCATACCTCATGTCCATCACAAAGGACACAAGATACTAGAAACGTTGCGTGTCCCCAAGCCAAGGGGTACGGACCGGTTCCGGCAGAAAAGCTCCGGAAATCGATGGAATGTGGAAGCACTATTCCGGGCTGGAATGTCTTCGGATGTTTTCGACGATTTTCGGCCAACTTTCTGGCTTTTCCATTGGAAAACGGTCGGAAGTCACCGGAAAAATCTGAAGACATTCCGGTCCAGAATACTGCTTCCGCATTCCATCGATTTCCGGAGTTTCCCTGCCGGATACGTTAATTTTCCTCACCTGTTCCGACAAGATCCACTTGTTTTCGGAGACCGGAATCTTCGACCTGAGTGATAGAACAGCTATGTGGACTTCTATTCGGGTAATATACTATAATACGTTTCTGCAAATTCACCACGTTCAAATGCCTTATTAACTAAGCAGTTAAACTTCTTGAAATTTTTCGCGCGTTCAAATGCGTGAAAACGAACTGCGATTTGCATCCAAAAAACTGTTTGAGGATCTTCAACGAAAAAAAGAAAAGCAAAAACTACCTTATACGAAATGGAAACAGGACTTAATCCAAAAATATTTTCGTTCTCCATAATGTATCACTAATACCATTTAAAATTAATCATCTATTCCCGTAACCATGTTAAATATACAGGAAAGATGATAATTTCTATGAAAAGCTTACAAGACATCCAAATAAACATGGAGTGTTCATAAAAAAGAGCGTTATTCCCATTGTTTATACTCGCATCGAAATTACAAAGAAAAATTCCTGTTAGTCTGACTTTTGTACAGTCAGCTAATAAAAAAACTTAGAGGCAAAATTAGACTACAAACACATTTTTCTAACAAAGAATTTCGACAAGAAATAAAACAAGAATCTTGTCTAATGATCAACTTGATAATGGTCACTCAAAATAAAAGGAGACCTCGATGCTTAGTCGCAAGACCTTCACCTTTTTTCAGGATCAACTTGATACTTTTTCACACGAACTTCATCTTTTTGAGGAGGAGATTTTATAGAGAATTAAATTCTCCATCTTTTGAAATAGAAACCAGCCTTTCATCATTTGTCTGAACTGAGATATGTGCAAAACTGTTGCCACACCTGGTATGTGCAGTCCTGAGGGTTGATATCTTAATAAAGTTCAAGAAACGCGTCGATAAATAATTTTCTACATATTATCATTATTCCAGAGCACACACATATCCAATTTCTTTGTCGTCAACGTCGATTGCTGAAAAGCAAGAGTTAGAAACTGATGGGTGAACTTGTTTTTCACTGCAAGTCGATCCGTCTGCTAACAATACGACCAATTGAAAATCAAATCACAAAAAAGTAAATGTGATCTAGAGCAAAATGACAATAGCTGAATCCCAGTCGTTTTGGATTGGAGCTACTTCGTTGTCGTTATTCTGAAGAGGGATGCACAGTATGATGTCAAATGCATAAAGGGATGATGGGGATGCTCGGAGAATCATCACTCTGGCCGATTAATTAGCTGATAGCCATCCGCTCATCAGCAAAGAAACCAATTTTCTGTGATAAAGGCATATGAGCAGTATGATTATTATCGGTTCACTCGACTTGGATACATTTTGGTCGAATGGACAAAGAAGTGGTAGAAGAAGTTAAACAGTGCTTTTCGTTATTAACAACGAAGACAGAAAATTGCGTAGCGACAACTAAAGCATCATGAATCGTGATTTTTTCTTCCTTACACCATTCATGTAACTGTGATAATAATGAGGGAGGAATATGAAAAAATAATAATTATGTTTTAAATTTTGTTGTGCCCATTGTGTTTGTTGAATCGGTATACATTTTGTATTCATTATAACTGGTTTTACTTATAAATATTCTGATATTTTTGAATATACCTGATATTTTTGCAAACATTGGTGTGAATAATGGTAATAAGGAAATCGTTTGCCAATAAAGTTAAGACAATGACGGTCGCAAATCTCTTTAGAGGTCTAAGGGAGGAAAGCAACGAGAATCCATACAGGACACCTTGCTTATACTACTATCTGTCATAGTATTATTCAGAGTTTCATTTTGCGCCGGTTGATAAGTAAATAATTAATCTAAGAAAGCAGAAAGAAAAATTGGTAAACTCATTCCATGCGTAATTGTATGCTGCATAGCAACTATGATTTCAAAACTGAAATCACAGTAATGCTGATATCAATATTGAGATTACAAGTTGCGTTGTATCGGATTTTCTACGCGTCCAAGGACTGATACCCGGTGACTATTGGTAGCCTTAAAAACTGATGGACTATGGGTAATCGACCATGCTGAGTTTCGTGGAAATATTTATTTTTAGAAAAAGCTTTAAAAACCTACCGAAAAGCCACTTTTACGAAAATTAGGGTTTTCAGGCTGTTTTCACCTAATATTAAAAAATTCATTATTCACTTAAAAAACATCAGAACAAGCTCAAAACTTCAGAATGCAGAGTATTTAAGCTATTCTATATCCTATTAATAGAAGATCTCGAAGCAAAATTTATATAGCTCTTAGATTTTCCAAAAGGGTTTCTGGAAAATCTGTTAACAAATATATGCTTTTAGATTTTTTCGATCTTATAAGCACATTGAGCGGACAACATTAATCATATCCTGAGAATTTGAGCTTGTTCTGATATTTTTTAAGTGAATAGTGACTTTTTAACATTAGATGAAAACAGCCTGAAAATCTGAATTTTCGTAAAAGTGGCTTTTCGGTAGATTTTTAAAGCTTTTTCTAAAAATAAATATTTCCACGAAACTCAGCATGGTCGATTACCCATGGTCCATCAGTTTTTAAGGCTACCACTAGCCACCGGATGCCAGTCCTTGGACGCGTAGAAAATCCGATACAACGCCCGAACCGTAGAAAATCAAGGTCTCACTTTACTTCCATTTTGAAGAGGACACCCTAAGCTATCAGTCCATGAGAAAAAAGCAATACACTCTTATCGGAAAATCTTTGCAGACGACGTAGTTTTCCAAAGATCTCCTAGGGAACCTATTTCAAAAAGCTCTTCTGGAAATAATGTTGGTTATGAAAACATGCATCCAAGTCTCCTCTTTCGAATGACGAAAACCGCAGGTCTCCATCTTGTTCCTATCAAAAGTTATCCAGAAAACAGTCGAGTGCGTTGACTTCTGGAACGGATAATAGAACTAATTTCCACATAGCTGTCCACATTGTAATTCGTAGTTCAATTGATTTTCAATGACAATTAGAAACGTTTGATCGTTTTCACGAGATACTACTAAGATACATTTAGGAAGCGAAAGGAAAGGGAAAGATTAATAATGGAAGTGCCTCTGTTGATTTTATTGTTTAGACATCAA